GGAAAATAGTAGATGGAATCAAAAACACCACTTCCTAATCACAAGCAAGAGAAGAAGGGAATAATCATTCCCCCTCCTAACCCAACTCAACATCATTTGGAGGATAAGAATATGGTATCATGACATTAACAAGCCAACTCCACATCAATTCGACAGCTCATATGCACTGTCATCTATGCACTTCACACTACTAAAATGCATGAACAACAACCACTACACATGAATCAACCACCACAACCACAACCTTCTTCCATTCTTGAGCCATCATCCACCAAACAAGAATGACTCAAACGAGAAGTGAAAGCAAAGGCAAAACCCTAGTCAAGCAACCGGTAAAGAACTAAAGAGGTTCCATGCGCTAAAGAAAAAATCGCCGAAATAGGAAGGATATGAGAAGAGAAAACATCACATTCGAAAAAACTCATAAGCTCTCTCATATCTGCGATTAGAAGAAGAAAACTGCTCGTTATACCTCAGATCTGTCGATCGGGGGGCTACGAAGCAAGACGACGAAGGAGAGCCGCGAGGGAAGTAGTTAGGGCAGAAGAGAAACGAAAGGGGTAAGCGAAACAAATGTTCAGACGAAAGCGGGGCCGCGGAGTTAATATCGCGGCCCGCTTTCTCTCAGCTTTGCGACAGTTTTGCCGCAAAGCTTCAAACCAAACGGTCGACTGCGGGACGAAGCCGCTGTCGCACACAGCATCGCGCAGCAGAAGTCGAACCAAACGAAGCCTTAGACAGAGACAAAAAGCGAAATCTATTATGGATTGGTTACATTAATTCTCCATTTTGTACTATTGAGTGTCATATTTTTTTTTTAATTTTAATAAATTAAGCTTTTTTTTTATACAACATGCCCAAGTCTTTTTAGGTACACCTCTGCATTTCTTAACACAAGTCAAATTTAAAACTTCTACTCTCCTAACATGGTCATCAGATGGTCGACATTTAATGTGACCAAACCATCTAAGGTGGATCTCTTTAATCTTGTCCGTCACTGGAGTCACTACAACCCTTCCAGGGATATATTTGTTTTGCATTTTGTCTCTAAGTGTAAAAGCACTCCACTATAACATTATCATCTCAACAACACTTAATTTTATGCTTGTTTTTTATGGGACAACATTCTGCAGCATAAAACATTGCATTTTTCACCACCATCTTATAAAATTTTCTTTTTAAATCTAAGTGATAATTTTCTATCACACAATAAGCCCGTCACATTCCTGCACTTCAACCATCCAACTTGAATTCCACTAACAATATCTCTATTTATATCACCGCCACTTTGAATAATAGACCCAAAATATTTGAAACATTCACTCTTTTTGAGGACTTGATCATCAATTGTTACAACCCCATCACTAGATTTATTATTGCTAAAATATATTCAATGTATTCAATTTTATATTTACCCAAATGAAAGCCTTTATATTCTAAAGTTGACCTTCATAAATCAAGTTTTTTTTTTTAACTCTCTGTAGTCTTATCCACAATAAGGATATCTTGAACGAAAATCATAAACCAAGGGGCATTCTATTATAATTATCTAGCAAGAACATCCATGACTAAAGCAAAAATATATGGGCTTAAAGCCGATCCTAATGTAATCCAAGTAAAATAGGAAGTACTTGGTCAATCCTCATTGTGCTTGAACACAAGTAACAATTTTAGCATAAATTCTTTAGTGACTTGAATATAAGTAATATCAAGCCATTTCTTTTCTAGAATTCTTCAAAGTACTTTTTCTGGAACTTTACTCTATAGTTTTCCTAAATCAACAAAAATCTATAGATAATCTTTACTCTCTTTGTGTTTCTCCACCAAACCTCTCAATAAATATATAACTTTCATAGTATACTTATCTGACATGATCCAAACTGATTTTGAGAAATTTTTGTATCACTTTGTAACTTATATTTAATTATTCTCTTCCATAACTTTAATGTATGACAGAATATACTTAATTCCTCTATAATTTGTATACTCCTGTGCATCCCCTTTATTTTTAAAAATAGAAATCAAAACTCTTTCTCTGTTCATCAAACATCTTTTTAGTTTTTACAATAATATTAGTAAGCTAAGCAATGTTATGATCTTTATAACTTAATGTCTTATTTTTTTGTTTTTCCTCGCGCATTATTATTTTTTTAGCAACTATTATTAATAAAGATTTTTCCTTTTGATTCAAGCACATTTTTTTCGTAATCAGCTTTATAATACTCATTATTTTATCGCACCATCTTCATGAATTTCTCAAATCTTAAAATCTTGAAGTTTACTCATAAAAATAATTTTATTCGCGGCTTTTAAGTGTCTTATATAATTTTATGACAATATTTTATTGTATTTCACATCTTCCAACTCTTTATATTAAAATCCAAACATAATAATCAATGTTGATTATTTAAATTTTCATTTAGAATAACCTTATAAATTTTAGAATCTCGACAATCTATTTTTATTAAAAGAAAATAATAAATTTGTGTTTTATTAGATCAATTTTTATAAATGATAATATGCTCATATTCTTTTTAAAATAAAATATTAAAAATAATGAAATCATAGGTTAAAGCAAAAATAAATGTAAATAGAACATTGTCAAAATACTTCATTGACTTTTTGTAGGTGATTCTTTTAGTCTTAAAATTTATAAAAGTATTAATTTAATCCTCATATTCTTTTAATATGGGTTGAAATAACCTCCATAAAGGATTATTTCAATCCCAATTCAAAAAAAAAAGATTTATGACTACTTTAATACACTCAAAAGACTAAAATGACCCATCTAAATGGTCAGGGGATTATTTTAACAATTCACTCAAGCCTAAATGTCAAACTTTAGGTGTTAGATATGTAAATCTATAAAAGTTATGTGGTCGGCATGTAAATTTCTCTAAATATTTGGGAATGGTATTAAAACCATCCGCCTAATCTTCCATACTTTTTGTTTCAGTCAATACCTCCAGTTGGTGCTAGATTTGTGTATGAGTTCTGCCAAGCAGTTTTGACAATGGAGTCATCAATGATGGACGGCTGGATGCTGGTTCGTATAAGGCTCATTTATTTTTGTTTATTTATGTAATTAAAGGAGTTTGAGCAAAATTTTAAATGCTCATTATATATTGAATGCTTGAGTGCCGATTCATCGGTTCTATCAATATTTGGGAACATGTTTGTTACTTAAAATATCTTAGTCAGAAGTGGAAACATAATATTGCATTAAATGATGGTTTAATTATTATTTGATGGCTTATTTTAGGTTCTTATATAAACTTTCTTGTTTCTTATGTTCGATGTAAAAAGAGGGAACAATTATGAAAACTGTTAATACAATTGAAACTCTATTTAATCGTATATATTTTGTATCATATCTGTATTATAGTTTGAATTCAAATATGACGATAATTGACTGGTCGGGCTGCTTGAATTCGGTTGGCCGAGGCGATCGACCGAGTGATGATCGTGTCTTTCGAAGTAAATGTCGGTCGGCTGAGGTACTCGGTCAAACGGCGATCTCACCCGCCGTAGTAAAAATGGTTCAACCGACTAGCTTGTGGTCAAATGCTCTTGATTGTGTCTTGGTTGGTTGGAGTTGCAGGCATGATCCGCTTACTGAATCTCTTACAACAGTGTGTTGGTTCATTTTAATCATGAGGTCACTTGTTGGATGGTACGATGCCTTGATTGGCTGATTGCCATCAAGGCTATTCGATTGCTTTGAGATTCGTGCTGACAATTTTGTTGTATACATATTAAGTTTTCGAATTTTTTTGTTCTTTGAAAGCGACAACTACGAAATGACATGGAATTATTAGCGTTCGATAGTACTAAACTCACGAAAATCAATTTGATAATTAACTCCCCTTGGATTTTGTGCCCGAGGTGCTCTATAAATAGTCATGGGCTAGACATTGCATATGTTGTTGTTTTTTTTGCCTTGGATAATTGAGTTGCACCATAACTGATTGCTTGAGCCAGACTGCTTTAGACACCAAAATTCTAGCAAAGGTAGGCTGCAACCTTTGACTTTTGTAAAGGATATAGTTAAGCACGGGGAACAGTCGAAGCTCGAACATGGGTTGGCTGATCATGTCGACTCATCTTGGGATTTGGAGGGGTCGAAAGTCCCTCGCCAGATGACCTGAGCTCGATGCAGGCTTGAGCTCTGAGAGCCACCAAGTCCTGCTTGCTGGAGACACCAAGGAGGGTGGGAAGAGGCCGAAGGGAGCAGTGATCAACATCTTTCTTTAGCTGCCGCCGCAAGATGTGGAGGTGCCTCGGTACGAGGGGGAGAAAAGCCTTTACACACCATTTTCTTCGATGGATAGGTTTATGGGCATGTAAAAATGTTATTTATTTATTTATTTGCGATATTGATGAAGACGAGTCCATTGGTTCTAAAGGATGCTTAGAAGGAGGACCATCGAAGGATGCATGTGAGTCAGCCCCAATGTTGTGGCCGAGCCTCAGGAGGTGGTTGTTGTACACTCAACTTTGACCAGTGAAGGGCCCGCAACTCGACCCTATTTCTTCGCTTGGTCCCTCTCTGTTGACTTCTCACCAGGCTCCGTATGACTGGCGACAACTCCATTCCTAGTTTGTGGGATTTCGTTCAACCGAGATCGACCCCTCGGTAGGGGCGATCGGAGGTCAGTCGTAGGTCTAATTCAAGAGTTACCCACCCACACCTCCGACCACCCAAGGCTCAGAGGTAGCAGCCTTGCGGGTGGAGGTCGCCACTTTTGAGGAACGAGTTGGACGAGGTGCTGCGCGAGCTGGGTGCAATTCGCGAGTTGACTGACCTATGCAAGTTACCCATGTGCTGTTAAACAAGATGACCAAGGAACTGTGGTGCCTCACTGATGCCAACATGCATTTCCGAGCCGAGGCAGTGAAGGAGAAGCTCATTATTAAACTTCAGAAGCAGAAGGGTCCTACGACACCAGGTAACTCTAGAGAAGATGAGGATTTGCTTCCTTACGGTGCGGCCTCTAAGCATATCTTCTCTGTGTATGAAACTATTGTTTTCATTCAAGACACAGTGACTATCAAGGTCCCTATTATTCCTTGAAAACGTGCTTCACATTTTGTTGATGCAGGGAAAGGTGACAGATGAATGTCTGCTTCTGAGGGAGCTCCGTAAGAGATTTTAGCTGCAGCCCCCTCCTAATCTACAGCTGACGCCCATACTAGGGTGTCACCGACCATCATTGCTCTGACGGATTCCCATGTCGGGGGTCCTTCATTCATTCTCTAGTCTGAGAGGGACAAAGGCTAGCAAGGACACCCCTTCTAACATTTCCAGCTCCTTGTCAAAAGAGCCAATTTCATCCTCCGGAGGTCAGGTCCCGCCTTCGCTCGAGGGAACAAAGGTACGTTGTGATGACCTTCGTCCTCTACAGTCGTCGGGAGCGCATCTCTTGGTCGATCGAGCTATTCACACATTTCTTTTCGTTCAAGGTCGATAGGGAAGGATTTGTCATGTTCTCAACGGGCAAAGAGCTCCACCTGCTGAGAGTAAAGAATAAAATAAAAGACTCGAAGAAGAAAATTTTGATCGGCTCTTGCTGCGGCACCTGGGGAATTTAGACCGAGCTGTCAGAGAAAGTAGTGCGCAGGTCGAAGTCCCTTCCGAAGAGCACGGAGTTCGGTCAGGAAATGTTGAATAGTGGGTGAGGACTGAAATTAGGAGGCACAGAGCAAGATCTTGCCACTACCATCGTGGTTGCCGAAAGTCTAATTGATTACTCAAAAGAATCAACGAAGCCTAAAGATTAGAAGAGTACCTGTGTTAAAGGTGGGGAAGATAAAGATCAACACAAGGAAGAGACGCACCACGAATTGACCTTATGCAAGGCAAAAGACAAAGGGAAGCCTAATAACAACAAAACTAAACCACACAACAGCTGCTTCGTTTGTGGAGGACCTCATTGGGCATGTGATTGCCCTTAGAAGAAGGCTCTAACTCTCTCCTTAGAAGCCATTAAGAGGAAGAAAGTGGTGATGTGACACACAAGTAGGGTATATACAACTGCTGGATGGGATGCAAACTCCAACAAAACCCCAAGCAAAGGGGTTACTCTTTGTGGAAGTGGTAATATGTGGAATGTCGCAAGAGCAATGGTAGACACGAGTGCTTATTACAACTTCATCTCCGTCGAAGAAGCAAAAATATTGCGTTCGTGGGTGACTGAAGGAGGATACTCCATCAAGGTGGTCGATTCAGCAGTAAGAACCAATCCATGGAATAGTCAGAGGAGTAAAGAACAATATTGGAGCGCGGTCAAGTAGCTTAGACTTCTCTGTCATTCTAATAGATGATTTTAAAGTTATTCTATGGCCTAAAATTTTTGGAGCAAGCAAGAACCAAGCTTGCCTTGTATCGACAATAAGAACTAGCAAGCAAGAAGCCAAAAATGCTATCGGTCAATCAATTTAAGAAAAACATCTGACGGGATAAGAATAGTTACTTGACTATTCTTCACGACTCTGATGAAGAATGAAAGCCCCAAGAAAACGTGCCAAGGGAAGCGGGGACAGTGCTTGAGGAATATAAAAGTGTTTCACAACGAGAATTACCAAACGAACTATCACCAAAGAGGAAGAAAGATCAGCAGATCGAGATGGAACCAGAGATTGAGCCGCTAGCCATGAAACCTTGCTGCATGATACCTTTCTCCCCTACAACCGCGTACGAGAGAGAAAGCCCAACCTTCTTCAAATTTGCCAAGTCCTAGAACAAGCAAAGAGAGTTAGCTCGAACCACATTACATAAGGTTGTAAGAAGAATGAAGAAGTGGGCATACAAGAAAATTATACATTAAGACACATGGAAAAAGAAAAAAACTAAAGATATCAAGTGGATGGCACAATGAAGGCATTACGAACTTAAGTGGGGGAGAGTGTCACACTCCGCCATCTTCAAGAATAACTGACAAGCTAACCATGGGAAATTAATATTTTAGAGAAGACCATAATGTAGAGAGCAATCTAAGGGACTCTAAAATATTTCACGACATTCCAAGGAATTCTAGAAGGTCCACATAATTTCATAAATGTGTTGAAAGAAGCAAGCTTCAAGAGAACTCTAAAATATTCTGGAAAGTTTTAGAAGCATGTATATGTAAAGGACAATGTAGAATTATCTAGAAGATAATATATTCTAATGTAATCTAGAATGTTCCCATAGGTTTGGGGAGGACTATAAATAGAACTAGCTAGTTCTTAGACTTTTCTGTCATTCCAATAGATGATTTTAAAATTGTTCTATGGCTAAACTTTTTGGAGCAAGCAAGAGCATTCATGGAGGGAAACCAAGCTTGCCTAGTATTGACAATAAGAATTAGCAAGTAAGAAACCAAAATGTTATCGGTCAATCAATTTAAGAAGGGCATTCGATGAGATAAGAACAGTTACTTGGATATTCTTCATGACTCTAATGAAGAAGGAAAGCCCCAAGAAAATGTGCCAAGGAAAGTGGGGGGCAGTGCTTTGTAAGGTTAATTCAGTGCCAAGGAAGAGTGTTAAAGCTGCACGAGCGACTTGAGATAAATTAGTCCGCGACACAAAACTTGTTTAAGGCGTTACATAAGCACCACAAGCAACACAAACAATTTTTTTGTATTTACATGTTCAACAAAATTTTATTGTTGGGAGGGAAGTGGCCAGTGGAGGATGGGTCGGGTGGGGGTGTGAATAGGGAGTGCTGAAGAGAGCAATTTTTATTTTATTTTATTTTTTGGGCATTTACCTGCATATCTCCTAATTCTTATCTATTTACATCTCGAACAACTTTTTTTTTTCATTTTCAATCCTAGCTAAAATTATTTTTAAAATTAATAAAATTTAATTAATTTTTTAAAAATATAATATGAAATTTTAATATATAAACATTATATTAATATTATTTATTTATTTATTCGAATCAAATCAAGCTGACAATGATTGAATAAATTTTTGGTTCATATTCAACTCATTTATAAATCGAGCTAAAAATATTTATTTGTGTTGACAGTTTAATTACATCGACTAAGGTTCACTTACAACTAATTTATTTTGTTAAGAAAATTATTTAAAGATTGTGGAAGAGTAGGTGGATGGTTTTTTTTCCTTTCAACTAAATTACTTATGTTTGCTGAATATTATAAACCATTTTATAATCTTATAGTAGGGTCAGCTTAAGAGAATATTTGTTGCATTTGATGAAGAACTTAATATTTATTCTTTTTTTATTTAATTAAATAAATGAGTTTGAATAAAGTACTTAAAATTTGGTATATGAATGACCTAAGCTTGAATATTTAACTCATTTATATCCTTGTGAGCATAGCCTGCTCGCTCTTGGATAAGTAGCTTGTTAAGAGGTGAATAAAATATATTTTTTAGTAATGATTTATTAATTAGTTGCTTTTATGGCTTATTTTTTTTTATTTTTATTACATTATCTGAAAAGTAAAGTGTCTGTGCCCTAAATATATTATTATATATACATTTATTTTTATTATATATTTTTAAAATTTTTTTAAATATATTTATCTCATGAATTAGATACTTTTTATTTTTATTTCTTTTTTTCACTCAAACCCTTTCACAATATTTATGGTATTTGGCAGTACTTGGGGCTGTAGGAGTTTATTAAATATTAGTTGTGAAGCTGCTGAGTAATAATCTGTTGTTCAAAATATTGCATTAGATATTATAATTTTTCTTTTAAGTCACACCACAGTTAGAAAACTGCCACTACACATAATTAAAAGTGGTGAGAAAACATAGATTTCAGATGCAACTTATTGAAAAACTGTCAAAACACAGTTCACTCAAACAGTCAAACTGCGGTGCGGTCGTTTCCAAACGAAACTTTAGTCATGAATTTAACCCAGAGTCAATCAAACACCAAAAAAAAAAAAAAAAAAAAAGATTTACACATCTCTACTAAAACCAATTCAATCCAATTCTATCCTATTCTGACTCTTTCCCCCCGCTTCCTATGTCATATATCGTAAATTCAGATTTATCAAATCCGATCGTAAGCCAGATTAAACAAATTTACTGCGTTATTGCTCGCTTGCTTCATCTCCGTCGCGAGCTCGTATGGTTCAACAAATTTGATGAATTCTATTTAACATAAATTTATATGGCACCCAAAAAGTGTCTTGGGAGAAATATATAATTTTTCTCCATCAATTTCAAAAGAAAAAATATATTAATAAATATAACAGCATAATTTCTTCGAAAAAAAAAAAAACATAATATTCAATATATGTGAGAATATAAAATCAGATGATTTTTTTTTTTGGAAAAGAAAATTTCATGGGATGCATGCAGAACGACCAATTAAAAAAAGAGTAGAAACTGAGTAGTCAGCTAGAGACTGATCCCTAAGGAAACATCTGTCTGAATCCACAGGGTACACGTTGCGTCACCACGGACCTGAGATTCCCCGATTCCATTCCAATTATGGCATCCAACGATTCCGCCGCGGCGATCGAGAGCGAGATTTGCCGATATGTGCCTTGTTTTAACAAATATATATGTCACTTATCTCGGGAGCAATTCGTCTGACAAGCGCGAAATCTACCTGGAAACGCGAGCTTGTGAACTGTGCGGAAGAGTTAGGAAGAATGTCGGAGAAGGAGATCGACTCCGTGGAGCTGCCGGCCCCAGCTGGCTGGAAGAAGGTCGGATTTCGATTCTTGCTAGGTTTTTTGCTGATCCGATCACTTTGTATGAGAATTTATAATTCAGTGTCTGTGCCCTAATTTCACTTCTGAGCTGAGAGCCTGAGATTATTACTCGCGAACTAGGTGTCTGGCTCGCATCATAGGGTCTATGAACTTATTCTTAGTGAAATTCGCGGTGTCTTTTGATTTAGGCTATTTCGCTCCGGGTTTTCGGTTACGATTTTATTTGTTTTTAGGAGTTGGCCGTAGTTTGGTTCCTGTCGATGTGTAATTGAGATGAATTTGCTGGATGACATGGACTTTCTTGTCAGAACTAGGGCTTTGTTCGGTTGATTGATGTTTATTCACTTAGCTAATAGAATTTTGTGTCCGAAATATTATGTCTAGTTCCGGAGTGCACGTAGTGCATCACTCGTGTAGTAAATTGTATATGGTATATGAAAGCATAAAAAACTAGCATTATTATATACTTGATGTGCTTTTTTTTGGGACATATATTTGATGGACTTTCTTTTACTTGGGGAAATTCAATATATTTTTAGCTGCAACTGTTGAAATCAGGATGCTGCGTTCTGAATGTCCAACAAGAAAAGGCAAGTTATCAAAGTTTTCAAACATGCCATGTTCCATACTGAAAAAATTAATTGAAAGTAATGACATGATCTTTTTGCTATTTCTTATAACATATCCATGGCCATCAATTTTTGCTATTTTTATCATCAATTTTACAGAATACAGCTACATGAGCTTAAATTATTTTGAATAAAAATTGACATTGCTGTTCATTTTTCTGCCTGAAACCTCTCTTTTTTTTCCTTCTTGGAATTACAGTCACTGTTGATCTCTATAAATGTTAGATGCGAAGTATTTAGAGCAAGAGAAAGAGAGTTATGGACTTTGATTAAATTTGATGACTAAAAATGAAAATATTAGGTTTTTGGTTAGAAATGAAGATATCTAGAAAAAAATCAGAATACTACTTGTGAAAATTATTTAGCTAGAGTTATAAAAAAAATTAAGTAGAATGAAAGGAATAATTCATGAAGTATTTTATTGATTGGTCAAATGAGTGTTTTGAAAAGAGCTATAAGGGTTTATGTTTAAGTTTAGATGAAATCCCCACTGAAATTTGGAGGCTATGGGAGACGTTTAAATAGTTTGGTTATAATATTTTCAAAATAATCTTACAGCGTTGGAGGATTTGCGAAGATTTAAGAAATACTTTTGTGCTATTAAGAATTCTTGTAATTGTAGAATAATCAGCTTAAGTGTTATGCAAACTAGTTAAATGGAGAGCATAACGAAACATTGGCTTACAAAATTTATTTTGATATTGACAATTCAATTTAATTTCATTTTAGAAAAAGATTCATCGTAGAAGTCTTTTTATGTTGAAGTGCCTAGTTCAAATGTAGATAGCAATCTGTAGATCTTCATATGGTTTTCTTAATGTTGAAATGACATATAATTAAGTGTAATAGGATCGTGCTAGCGAGCATTAAAGTTGAAAGAGGCTTGTTCAAGGGTTTCATCCTTTGCCAAGTTAAATAAAGAATCGATATTAATATTGCATCTATTGGTATTGATTTTGGAGATGCTTAGGATTTATTGTTCGAATCAAGGTATTTCATCATGAGAAAAAAAGAAAATAAAATAAAAACAAAACAAGAAAGATATGATCCTATGTTATAACTTATAAGTCAGTGGTTATATGGTAGCGGTGGTTTTTTTTTTTCTTTTTTGTTATTAAGGGGAGGGGGGAGCTCCCCCACTTATATATATGTAATATTTATCTATTGAGGGATGGCTGGGTAAAGCTTAAGAGGAGGGAGGAATGTTGTTGTAGTCTTGTAGACATTGTGGGACATTATCACAACACAATTACACAAAGATGTATAAACCAGCCCCCTAAGGTTCACTCCTCACCCTACCTCTTTAGCTGTTAATTCATGAGGATTAGCTTAGGCATCATTAAAACTTAGTCCATGATGCTACCTATTTCTACTTTTCTTGACATGGATGAGGAGATTCCTTATTGTCAATGTATTTTTATTGTTGAGCATCAATTCATTAGGACTATGTAACTCTACAAAGCCTAGCTAATGATGTCTTCATTGGTATGAATGTTAAGGCCCATACAAATTTTGTACATATCACTATTTCCCTCCATTTTTAGTTTGGAGGGGGTGCCTCAGCATGCATGCCTATACGTACTCTCAATTTGGATGTGTACAAGTTGTGGAGCTCTTCCACTGATACTTCATATATATATATACACATATATATACCCAAAACACAAGGCTCAACACATAAAGGCCCTAATATTATAAAATACAAAAAATATAACATGATACAAAAAAAAGACCCAACAAAACAATCATCCGATAAATTTAAGGCCCAACACATTAAGGGCCCAATATTATAAAAAACAAAAAATATAGCATGATACAAAGAAGACCCAACAAAACAGTCATCCCATAAAGTAAAAAGTATAACAATATCATCAGTGGTGCACTTGACCCAGACAATGTGAAATACTTAATTGAAAGTGTATTTTGATTCAATGTGTGCATTACAATATCCTTATAACTATAGCCAAGAAAAACCTTATTGGCCTTTTTTAACTTCGACTTAATTTTTTCAGCCTTTTGCACAGATACTCCCCAAGCAAATAAGATATTGGTAGAATCAAAATGCATATTGAATTACTTTTTATTTTGTAAACAAATAAAAATTGAATACTGTCAGGAAAGCTATTGTATAAAAATACCTAGTAATTGATTTCCTAGGCACGTATGTCAATCCTAAACAATTTCAACTAGGAGATTTTGTGCTCGGAAAGCTAGAATCAACTCGCTAGGATGATGGAGTAGGGAAATTTGCATTAAATATGAGCCCATTTATCATTCTAGGGGTAAAAATACCTATAGCACATAAACTTCAAGCCAAGTGGGGAATAAATAAACCTTGAGCATGAATTGTGAATGACTCCCACTGTTTTGACTTCTTGGTTTTAATATTCTCAGTTAGTGTTTCGATTCTATGCATGGTTGAATCATCAAGCTAACTTTGAGTGGGTTGAGCCAAACTAGGTCATACCTGAGTTGATTGAACGAGTGCAAGGAGGAATGGCTACTGATTTCGGCTTCATATGAATGTCTGGATGAAAATCTCTTCTTTCCTTGGTAGATTGGATGATGAAGTTAGCCCTAGTATTGTAATAGGGACAATTATTATAATTGCAAAACATCAACTCCCATTAATACAAAGTTTAAATATTTATATGTTTTTTTGCTTGAATATAATTGAATGATATTTAAGATCAGTAAGGATAGACAAAAGTTTGGGATCCTTAAATGACATTTAGCTTAAGACTAGTAAGGATAAATAGAAGATTGAAACATTTACATCGAGAACATGGCTAATATGAAATTTTCTAAGTCATTTTTTTTAACTTTATTAAAAGGATGTATTTGTAAAGGTGAGGGTGAAAGGAGTTTATTACTTTTATGGGGGTGGATGGTGGATGAAAATGTTACTTCTCCCTTGAGATCCATGCTGGATAGAAATGCTTCTGAGTGAAGTGTATTTTAATTCTCTTGTTGATCATATCTTTGAAATTCATGTCAGACCATTTTGCCCTTGGTGCTGATGTATGGATGAAGGATGGAGTTCCTAGGCTTTAAGATTCGTTTTGTTAGAATATTAATTAAGCCATAAGATGACTTTGAGATGGTGGCGGTATGCTTTGAGCTATACCATCGAACTTTGTTTGACCCTGAAGATCGGCGTTAGATTTTGGATTTGATGGTATAAGATTTAGAAGTATTGTTGTCTCATGGTTGATGCAAATTGAATGAGCACCAATATTTGTGTCACAGTTGGATGACTCGAAATAATTGTACTTTTTAATATTGTAGGTTTTATAAATTGTAATTTATTGTATTACTTTGTATGATTCTATTTTTATATAGTTAATTTAATAATGGTACATTAAGAAATCTCTCAAGACTTTTATTATATCACCCAGTTTGATTTTTAGATATCTTTATTTCACATCTATGGTAGTCTTATATTTGTCATAGTTAACAACAAATTTTTTTGTGAGTATTTTTCATGCAAATAATGTGTATGCACACTGAATGATTGTTCAAGTTAACTAGTTATAGACTCAATAGGAAGATTAATTAAATCCAAGTTTTTAGGCTAAAATCATTTAATTATTTTTAATGAACTCATGCATGTAAACCTGCTAGCAGATGAATTGTATGCAAACTAAAAGGTCAAATATCACATTATAACTTGTCACACAAGCTTTTATTAACAATTTTTTGCCTGTGCATATGCTTTAAAAATTTAATTTTAATTTAATTTCAATAATTTTAGAGAGTTTCTAGGAATATTTCATATATTTTACACGTTAAACACTAACAAAATAGTTTTATGTAACCCATAAATTTAAACCTTCATTATATTATAACTTAGCTATATTGAATACATCAACAATTTATTACATGGAATGAAATAATTTTTTTCACTAAGATAAATTTAGAATCATGTTTTTTAAAATTCACAGTTTTGCTCATATAAAATCCATATTAGCATTGCCCTCATTCTACAAGGGATAAGGTAGTCTATAATTCGATATTATTTCTTTTAGTTGTTTGATGAGTTCATTATTCTGATGCTATTTGTGTTGCATCTCATTTCAAATTTGGCCCAGTTTTTTTTTTTCTTTTTTGCTCTAATTATTGTTTTATCACAACTAAAATAACTTATAACACCATGAATATTGAATTCTAGTATAAGGAATTATTTTAAATAAGAATCACTAATACGGCAAGGAGCTTCCTTATAATAAAATTAGTCATATCTTGTTATGAATATACATTTTTTTCCATGAAATATAGTCAGCACCATCACTTTCATCTGCTCATCACATATGATAACCCTATTTAATGTATCAACCAACTTGTTTTCTATCATTGCACATTGTT